CTCCTAAACATCAAGGTCATTATTTGGCAAGGCCTCCTTAGCTCTGAGCTTAATGGCTGGCATCCAGCTCCTTGCCCAAGGGACTTGACTCACCAGTCCCGATGGGCTTAAACCAGATAACCCTCACGGATAGATCACAAAATTCTTCCTCTCTTCCTGCCTGATAAAGGGTATGTTTCTTGTGATGAAGCCTCTGAGAAAGCAACACATAAAGTCCAGAACAGAACACAGAAAAGCCAAGGGGAGTCAGACCCACCATCCACCTGGCCTGATGTGTCTTCAGCTGCAACAGCACCAGCTTTTCAGAATAAGTTGCTGGAGACAAATGTGGAATAACCCCATAGAAAATTCTCCTCCTAACAAGATTTATTTGAACTCTGCAGTTTTATGTACCTTCTAAAACTTTATAGTTGATATTTACTGCAAATCACCTTCTTTACATAAATGACTTTGCACTTTGACTCCTGCTAAACTCCTGGCTTCTTTCACAGTCTAATTAGACACTGTATTTAACATGGTCAGTTCCCAGTTTTTCATTCTACTATTTGAGATGTTTTGCTACATCTACATGACATTGTCACATCCAATATTTTCCCAGATATGAGAAAAGGAGAAACAGGCTTTTTTTCACACTTGTAGATCAAAAGAAACTGTGTTGCTTTGGTCTCTTATCTGGCCTCAATACATACAAACACACACCACTCACAATGCTGATCCAGACACTCTTTTTAGAGAAAATTATGAATGGCCACAAGAAATGCTCTTCTATCTAGTGTTCCTCTGGTCCTGTTTTACCATCAGCATATCAAAAGGAGTAGTCCTCTGGTGTTCCTCGATATCTGACAGCAGCATATGATTTTAAAAGGCAAAGATCTTATGGCACCAGGAAACTCAAACACCATTCTGCTACTCATCTTCCAGCAATAAGGCAGTCTAACGAAAATCCCCAGGAACAGCCTACAGGGGCTCTCCTTGCCTGACCTTAGGAAGTGCCTACCCCTCTACCCAAACGGGCAGAGAAACAAGGGGAAATAGTCCCTTGGATTAATGATATCTATGGCTCTTATTTCAGACACGTTCCTTGTTCCTAAGGCACCTTGTGATAAATCTGCTGTAGAGTGGCTTTAAAGGAGTAGTGAGACAAGAAGGAAGGGTATAAGCAGTGGGGATGAAAGTGAACTCATTTAGGAATTCCTTCTCTAGCCTGATTCCCCTACAAGAATGAGTAAGTCAGCAACTATACGTGTGACAAAGTTCACCTCTAAACCACCTCACCAGGTCCAGCACCACAATAACTGCCCCCCTGGAGGCCCCAGAGGAAGGTTACATGCGCACAGGGTAGAACCAAAAGGAAAGGTGTGTGGCTGTCTTTCAGACACAGTTGCATAGTAACTCGACTTTATTCTTAGCACCTGAAGTCAGAGACAACTAAGCTCTCTTACGCATTTTCATCCTACCTGTTCATGTAAACAGATCACTACCAATAATAATCTGCATAACTATTAAATAGGTCCCAAGCAACTACCCTGCATCTGACACTAATAACCTCTCACAAGAATCCAAACTACAGGCTTCCAAAGAGTTTGCGAGTAAATCAAGTCAGTACAAGTGGCCCTTGATTTCAGCTATTTAAGCTCCCTGTCCTCAGTAAAACACATACATTTTAAATTCCTACTGCTACATTACACCTCGAAGGGTAAAAAAAAAAAAGAAAACAAGAGAACTTATGACCATCTCTGACACTATAAAAATGCCCGACAGATTGTTACCATTTTTATAAATAATTATACAAGCTAGTTTTTATACAAGTCCTGCACTACAGGACTGTTTTATGTCTCTGGATGAACATCTTAAGTCTTATTTCTACATATGCATTATATTCAAAACAAAATTTTAAACAATTTTGTGCTTTCATAAAAACAAACCCAAAATGCAAAAAAAGCTGCTTCCTTGATTTAGCTTTTTGAAGCTAATTTACAGGGAGAAGAAACACACTTTAAAAACCTATCTGAAATCTTCCTTCCACAGAAACAGAGAAGGAATTTTCCTTTCTCAAGTATTAATTTCCCTCTCTGAAGTGCAACTGCCTTTTTAATTCATTTTTCATTCTAGAACTAAGGTCTAGTTCCAAAGGTCTCCTACTGAAGTAAGAGTTTCCATCACTGTCTCAGCCAGATCGCAGGATTAGATACAAATGCAGGAAGATACACCAAACTGAAAAAAATTGCAAGAGCAATAAGATTACTTCTTTGAACCAACTATGGGATTGATTTTGAATGGGCATAGCTGCTGCTAATCACTAACCACGCATCCAAGGTATTGGGTTTATCAGAAAATGAATAAAGACTATATATCCTTCCAAAGAAAAGTTGTCACTTGGATAATGAATGCTGTCTGAATACCTGAGAAACAAGATGTTCAAAATTAAAAAAAAACCAAACCCAAACAAAAAAAATAAACCAAAAAGAGGAATTATCCTGTAAAACTGTGAAGCTTCTGTTTCCTGCAGATGAAATATTCTGTGCCTAAAACTATCTTGTGTTCATAAGAGATACCAGATACTTCTGGGAAACTGAAGCAGAGAAATAACACACACTGAACACTTTCAGTTCCACTGCAGCAGGCCTGTCTATGGGCACACTGCATTTGCAGACCAGGCACATGCCGATTGGGATGACATACCATACCCAACGCTGCTGGTGGGCTTACGTCAATGAGACAGAGACAGGCACAGTTCCAAACAAGTGACCTGAGCCTTATTTAGAAGTTGGTCCACACTTCAGAAGGCTAGAACTGAGCAATACAATTACCATCTACAGTGCAACCTCTCTTAACTAAAACCACCAATGGCTTAAAAACTGGCACATACTATTTGTGTGTGACTGATAAAAACTGCTTGTGAGGCAGGCCTTAGTAACATCTTACAACATGAAAAAAAAAAAAAAGTATTTCAAACCTTAATATGAGCAACAGAGAGACAGGAGGGGGAAGTAGCTGTGAGTTAGCAACAGGAGGCCACACTATAAGGGAAACAGCTTTTTTAGTGGAGATAACCCACTAGCCTACAATAAACCATGCAACTGAGGATCAATAATTCCAGAATATGTAATGTATGTACAGGTCAGAGCTCTCTTCATCATAAGTAAATCCTGATTAGAAAGTGGAGTGGGTGCCAGACAGTGCATCATCATACATTAACCAGCAAGTGCAGAGTTCTGTGGATCTCACAGAAAAGGACCAAAGGCAGTCACCGAGTGGGGCAGTGCTGATGCTGTGGTCAGACTGAAGGGTTGTTACCTGGAGGACTGAAAAATAAAACTCAGAACTCTACTAGAATCACCATGCAAACAGCTGTTTAGTGTCTCGGAACTTGATAGACAAAGGACAAAAAAGGGAAGCACCTTACCCATGATGCTCAGGCCTGATTCAAGTGCTGTACAAAGGCCAGAGGGTGGTCCTTCATCTCCCGCAAGAGAGGCTTAAAGGAAAGAATAGTCCTCCCCAAGCTGCTGAATGAAAGAGCATCTTACTCTGGTCGATACCAAGCCCTACTGTTCTGTCTCCTTGCAAGGTTGTCCTGTGGTTGCCCCTGCTTGAATAAGGCAGCTTTGCAGTTCCCCCCTGCCCAGGTGCATGCTCTCTCTCTCTGAGGAAGGCAGCTGTTTTATTTTCCCATCTCAGGGCCTAAAGCAGCAACAACTCTGCTCCTTACCCTGACCAGCTCGGCTCCCTGCCTGCTCACCCACAAAGCCACTGTGCTCCAACCGGTGTTCTTTGCATTTCCACTCCTCCCGCTCCCAGCTTGGGCTGCTCTGCTGTAGACTGACTGTGCTCTTTCTTACCATTTTGACCTAAGTGCTCTGGGACAGTGAATAAGCAAGCAGATAAAAGAAGAGATGGAATATGGAGCAAATTGCACAGCATTACAATATAGCCTTAACAGGAAACATGCAGCCCTCCTATGAGAGTGAAATCTTTGGCTTTAACTACCCCAAAATAATTTTGTCATTCTCTCTCAACAGAAAGAACAGACCAAGTAGAGGTGCTTTACCTAGAGGATTTAAAAAGAAAACTCAGAACTCTACTAGAATCACCATGCAAATGGCCATTTTGTGTCTCTGCAAAGAGGTATCAAAATGTAAATACAGCAGTATTCTTAGAAAAGAGAATGATTTCAAGTTAAAAGTATTAAAATAAACAACAATTACAGATAAATATTATTTAAAATTCATCTCTGAAGGATTAACTTAATCCTTGTTCAACTCTGCCAGTACTTGAGCAGAAGGAGATCACTGCTGTCATTGCTAGCCACCAAAACATGCCAAGGAACTCCATCCTTTACCATGCGGTCAAGGTTAGCAATGGCCTTGCTGATTTTGGTTTACACCTTTCGAGTTTCTGAACAGAGATGTTCTTTTCTAACAATACCTTTGTAACAGCAATAGCAGCTGACAAGCTACACTTCCCTGGGGAGCCTTTTCCTTGCTACATACAGCATTATCCAGCTGGCAGCAACACCAGTGAACCAACATACCGCTACTGATACATTTCCTGTATATTTATTGGTTGTACTCCAACCTTTTTGTATTTATTCAGCTCAGCAGTAACTTCTTTTGCTTCACATCTGGATTACAGAAAAGCTTCTGGTGGCCACTGAAGTTTCCATAATCTACATATCCCTACAATCAGCAGGTATAATCTGTAGGAAAACCCCCTTATGGACTTCTAGGTGTGCACCTCCCCCTACCCCCTGCCCAAACCATGCCCTGACTGCTGTTTGGGGCCTGCCCATTGTAGCATGGCCCAGCCACCGCAGCATGGGCTGCTGCTGGCCAGCTGCACCCCCACCCACAGGAGTGAAGGAAGCACTGGCTGCTGGTGAGTGCAGAGGTGGTAGGTGATGAGATTATCAGTGGCTAGGTGACAAGCCAGCTGTGCTTTTGGCTCATTGCAGCTGACAGCTGCCCTCTAGTGATGCAGATGCAGCAGGAGAGTCAGAAAAGTTATTCACAAAATAGTAACAGATCAAGAATATTTTCACTTCATTTCGTACCAGCACAACAGATCGAAGCCACAACCACCTGAACCTGGCTTTTGGCATTTACTGGCTGTGACATGAAGGCCCAGCTTCATGCCTGCACAGAGCAGACCTCACGAAGTTTTACAGAAAGAGCCGCTGCCTGTGGACAACTAGGCAGTCACAACTACCTTTCTCCACTGGGACAGCAGGGAAGGATGGTGTGGGGAGAAACGAGTTAGTGTCTGAAGAGGAGCCGGCAGAATTTGCCTTGGTTCTGTCACACAGCAGTGCCCATCAGGCGGTACCAGGGCTGGGTGGCAGCCTGCTACATTCACCATTACCTGCCTGCCATCCCTGCCCCTTCCCCTTTCTTCAGCTAGTGTAATAGACATGAAAGAACAGAGTCTTATTGCGGAGGAGAGAGTATGAGTTATCAAATTTCAGCAGGTAGATGCCCTCGCCTGGGTACTCGTGGCTGCCTGCCTGCACCTCCCGATGGCTGTTCCTCCGATATACAGGCATGATCTCTCCATAGCGGTTCCGCAGATAGCTTTTGGAGCCCCTTTCCACGTCACCAACAGGAGAAAGTCCTGAATGGGAGAGAGGAGACAAGTAGGCCAGAGCCAGTTAAGCTACTAGGTAGTCCAGAAAAAGATCAACAAGAGCAGAATGCAGCAGAGGCATGCAGATATATGGTAGGCTAACTATGACAGCATTACCCATAGCATCTGCTCTGACCTTGCTGCAAATAATACCTTTATACATAAGCTTTCCTTACCAGGACAAAGGACATGCTGAGAACCAGTTCTCTTGGGAATACTGATGGGACAGTATCCACTTGCCTGCCAGCCTGGTCTCCTCTCCCTGGACTTACCTTTAAGACACCTCACTTTTATACACACAACAGTGGTCCAATGATATAGACTTGAAGCAAGAGAAAGGCAGGAAAGCTCTTAGCTATAACCTCACTGTGTTTATGCCTCAATTCACTTCTCCAAGAGGATTCCTCTCACAGGAACCTACCCCTCTTTGGAGAGCCTGCAAAATTAATTTCAGACACCAGCTGCCCAGCTACACTGGTCACATACACTGAAGCCACAGGCAACATCGTTGTGTGTTTCACAAGTACAAAGACACAGATAGCAATCCTCTCAAATGCTGTCAGCAGGAGCTACTGATGTACTGGGGAGGGGGGGAAATACAACTAAACAAGAAAAAAACCAAAACAGAAACAAAACCTTTTTGCTTCTACTCACCACCAGAAATTTCTCAGTCTGAGAGGCTAAGAAAAACAGTCAAGTTAAAATTTCAGACCCTAGTCTTTTTATCAGCTAGAAGTTGAACAAGTGAATTCTGATTTTATTTTTCAATGTGTTCAATTTTAAAAACGCTGTTGGAGAAGGACAGCCATTGACATACACTGAAGCAGGAAGGGCTAAATGCTTTCTCATCACAGCCTAACCAAGCACTCAAAAGGCTGCAGAGATAACAAGTGGGCTGAGTAAACAAAGTAGATGGAAATTACAGCATCTGACAGACACTCTCAGCAGCATGGCAACAAGCACCACAAATTAACCCTTATAAACTGTGCACTAACCTTCAATTTCCTCCTCTTCCTCTTCATCCTCCTCATCACTGGATTCACTGACCTGAACAGTAATGGCAGTGCTAGTAATCGTGGTCCAGTCAAAATAGACTCCAAACCCAATGTCATAGTCATCTGTAGCAAACTCCCAGCAAATGCATTTCCCATCAGGATGGGTTGGCACGCGGACTGTCACCACCTCGCCTCGCTTCACCACCATCCGGCCGTTCTTCTCCTTTCCCATCTTGGCTTTGAATTCCTTTGTCTTCTCAGTGGTCCACATGGTGGGTGGAGCCAGAGGGGGAGGCTGAACTGAGACAAGGGAAAAGATCATGGGCTCACCTGACTTTTCACTGCTGACAAAACTGTTATCTGAAAACAGTGAAGCTTTTCCTGATAAGGCTTTTGCATTCTGGAGCCTGTTCCCAGAAGCCTTGGATGTGAAGTCTTCCCACTCACTAGCCAGGAGCCCAAATTTCCATCAGGAATTAGTAGTGTCTCCAGGACAGCCTCTGTTCTTCTCTAGCCAAGGCAAGCACTTAAAAAGTGGTCCCAACAAGTGTTTTCCTTTCAGGACTCACCTTTCCTCTGCTCCCCAAGGAGGTCTGCAGTCTCCAGCTCAGCTGAAAGAATATCCACAGCACCAGTGTGGTCTGACTGGATCATGACTATATCCCCTGCTCCTTGAGGTACATGGTAGTTGCTTATCCGAACAGCAGCTTCCTGCACAAAGCACATAAGAAACATTGTCACAAACACCATCATGGTAAGAAAGTCCCCAGGGGGATTTAAAACAACTCAATAGTAATTCAGGCATTTTTCTGAAGCCAAGTCAGACCATGCAGAAGCTTCTATTAGTTAAAAAACAACTGTCTGGATCTGACACACCTCTCTGCATTATTTCCCCCACAGCACCAAAGTAATGAACTTTGAAGTCAAATACTGCATTAGCATCACAAATTTATACACCCCCTGGCCTCCCCAGGAGTCCTTGGGAAAGCACATCTTTGCATCTGCCTCAGAGTTAATTGTCACCTCTCAACAAAGCAACAGCCTTACAGATTTAGCTGACTACTCTTGGAAATAACTCCCAAGACACAGTCCCTCTACACGGAGAGCCTTTCAGCTCTGTGTGCATCTAGACTACAGCCACAATCAAACTGTCATCTGCTACATCCTAGTTAAAAGTCCATCTGGTTCAATAGGGCTAGCCCTCTTTCCTCATATATGCAAACTCACAGCTCCTGAGCTGCGTGTTTCCTCATATATGCAAACTCACAGCTCCTAAGCTGTGTCCCACTTGCACAGGTTTTCCTGACTGCATCTGTCATGCAAACAAATTGGCTGCTCACCAAAAGAAACAAAAGACGGCAGAGTCACTTTCATAGAATCACAGAATGGTTTGGGTTGGAAGGGACCTTAGAGACCATATAGTTCCAACACCCCTGCTCCCACTAGACGAGGTTGCTCAAAGCCTCATCCAGCCTTGCCTTGAACACTTCCAAGGAGGGAAGTGTTCCCTCTTTCAGTTCCCTCTTCCATAAATCAGCAAGAAGGGAATTCCCAGAAGCCCCAGACAAGAGGCAGAAAATGAGAATAACCCTGAAGCCTTAGCGAGCCAAAAACTGCAAGGAAGCAAGGACTACCTGAAGACACAAGAGAGATTTTGCAAATCAGACCCATAATGTTTACCTTGTGATAATGTATAGGGAAAAAAAAAAAAACACTGAACCTATGTTAATGCTAGGTTTGTCTTAACACAATCCTTAAAGCCTCAGTCCCATAGTCATAAGCACAGCAGTAGGGTGGAAGTGCTGCACCTCTGTCTTTGCTTTCAGTCATAAGAAATGCCCACCTACCTCTTTGAGGGACTGGATTTGGTCAGGCAGCTTCTCTTCTAGTTCAGCCACTTTGTGGTCCCCCAAAGTATCAGCTTCCTCCTTTGAATCTCCTGTCATGGCCGCACTCACGAGAGATCCAATCTGCGACCTTTCAGAAGAAGAGAGCACTACAGTTCAGCACTTGCACCCAAGGCACAGGCAGCAGAGGAATCACTCTGCTCTGGAATTCAAACTCAAATGGACTGAAGGGGACAAGCTTCTGTGGTCAGCACCTGCCAACTGCACAAAGAGCCCTTTCCACCCCAGTCCTGCCCGTGACTATCTTCCATGTGAGCCAAACGGAGCAACTTCATCAAGTTACTCCGTATTTACTGTCCCTTAGACTGCAGTAATTCACTGCACTCACCCCACAACATGCTAGCTCACCAACACTGCATTAAGTGCAGAAATCAGTAACAACATTTCTGGTCAAGAAAGGATAACTTCTTTTATGCTAGCTACTACATGACATCTGCATATTCCATCAGATGTCATGTGGATCAGTGAAAGGATTCAAAACAGTTTTGACAGCCATAGTGAAAATGCCCTCTATTGAAGTGGCCCACTAAGCCTTTCCTATGAGCAATCCCAAGAGACACAGGGCACACCCAGGTGTCTCTCTGCCATATTCAAATATGCTGCACAGACAAGCAAGCCTTAAGACATACAATGGCATCACAATAATAGCAGAGAGGTCCAAGTACTGCACTGTGACAAGAGGACATGGACATGTTAGAACAAAAAGAGGAACGAAGGAAAAAAAGCAGGAAAAGAATGGGCAAGAAAGGAAACATCTTTGGCATTCATTCTCTGTTGAGGACTTTCTTCTAAATTATATTGAAAAAATGCTGCATATTGCCTATAGCTGGAAAGAGTTATCATCCCAAATGAACTCAGATGGATGCCAGAAGAGTCTCCTCTGTCATACTCTGAGATACTATGTCAAAATTCCATGAGAAGCAACTTAGTCTTTAATTAAAGAGAATAGAGACAGTTGCACTTTTGAAAAGCAAAGCCTTCTCACAGCACTATAAAACCAATGTCAATTGCCTCGGACTAAAAGATCAGAAACATGAGAACATAGTAATGGAAAATATGTGCATTTTCTCAAATGTCTCCTTTCAGAAATGAGACATTCTCAGTAGCAAGGGAGAAGAGTATTGGTATAGTGTGGAATAGTTGAAAAAAATATTTAACCTATACACAGCTCAACTCCGACACATTCCTTGCTGCATCCATAGAGAAGATTAGAACAATGCAAATGTGGCTTTTGTTTCCAAATCTTTACTCCTATGGGGGTACAGATTTTATCCAGAAATAAAACCATTTCTTACTTAAGTTCTCTCAACAGTGTGATTTCCTTTTCTAGAAATGGCATGATAGACCAGAAAGTCTTCAAGAACAACTCAAATGAGCTGAATACTAGTAGGATACACAAAATGTCAACAGATAAACAACAGAAGAAAATCAGGGACACTTGGAGGGGACAATTTTTTAAAGGAAGAACTCTCACAGTGATCCATAACAATTTCTCTGTCAGCCCAGGACAAATCTGTACTTCTATGCCATAATTTTCTAGCCCATTTGCTTTTTAGCTTAGCAGTTGCATGATCACACCTAGAAGGGCTATTTGATTGTATGCTACCATAGGTGCACACATCTGCTCAAAAGGCTCTCCATCAACACAGGAGGTAACAGCTTGGGAATTTTTTCCTCCAGACACCACTGAAGCTCAAGAGTCCCACTGAAAGATTAGGAAGAGCTATGCAAGCTTTATAAGCAGATTTATAAAGACAGATTCAGCTGATTCCTCCTCACACAACCCTTTTGGACCACCTCCATCCTTTTCAAAGAAGACCTAACTTAGACGAATTTATCAGGTGACATCCACAAGTATCCAGCATCTACTTTGGCCATTTCGCTCACCATCTGTATTAGTCTCTCTGAAGAAAATTAGAGGACATAATCAAGAAATGGAAGAACACTTGTTTGGAGTCAAGACAGCTGATACAGATGTAATTAGCATCAAGTCAACATGCCATCAAACTGCTGTTTTAGTAAGTAGGGTGGTTTGTTGGGTTTTTTGCTGGAATTTTTTCCCTCTCTTTTTCAATGAGGTTGTGGTTTATCTACTGTCCGATTTAATTAACTCACACATTTCTGAAATGGTATCCTGTGCATCAAATGTCTGATGGCAAAAGAAACGCTACTGCATACAGTATTAGTGCTTGTAACCAATGCAATGACTTAGCCACAAGCACCACATGCCCAACAGATAACAACAAGCCAAACATCTGATAACAGGGTTGATCAGCAGCATTAACAAAGGAGTGACATAGAAAACAAAAGGTGAAAAAAAACCAAAACAAAACACTGTCAAGAAAGCAGTAAAAGGTGTTTTCTTGCTCAGCTTCCACCAGAATTATAGACACTGTGAATGCTTAATTATTAAAGTATCCTTCAGACAGGATAGAGAAAATTTCCTGCTAAAAGTCTATTAGCTCTTACGATGGACTACAAAACCTTACAGGGTTCTGTCAAAGCTGAATGATTCTGTGATTTGAATAGCTGAGGCATGAACTACACTTCATAACTTCATAAGCTGTAGAACAACATCAAGCCTGTAAGAACAGCCCTTCCTATACTGATTCCGGTATATATTGTCCCAAAGCACACAATTCAGTCTCCAGTCCCTTCTCTTCACCTGCATAGAATCAACTGCCACACAGACGAGATCACAGGGGTGAAACAGGCTGTCATGCATGTGGGCCACAATACACAAAAAGATTTTCCTACCCGCTCTGTGAAGTACTGGACTCCAAAGAATCAACCAGCTGATCTGCAAGCTCTCTCTTTTGGGCTGAGTCTTCATTTTCTAACAACGAACAGAATATATAGAGAGGTGAAATAAATTTTGGTCTTTAGAATATACTGACAGGAGGAAAAACTACAGCCAGCACTCCAACGTTGACAAGGTCACATGGCTGTGGAACAAAGAGCTGTGCCAACCAGTTTTTCATGTTATGAACTGTATCTAGCACCTTGCAGAACAACAATTTTTAATCATCTCGATACTAGGAAAGGGAAAACGAAAACCCATGCATATTTTTGGTGCAGAACCACTCTCAGAAGCAGGGTTAGTTCAGGAACCACCAACCCTAGCTTTAGAAGGACAGAGCAAGGCCAAATTTTATAATGTAAAACTGGGTTGACAAAGCCCTGGAAAAAGCAATCATGTAGCGGTTCCCACAGGGCACTGATGAGATGGAAATTCCTAGGTCACTGCTAAAAGGACTGTCTATAAAGATGGCTCCCGGTCTCCCCCGAGTCTCCTGAACTCTGGGGACGCTCTGTCCCCATACAACTGTGGTGCGTGCTGCGCAGCCCCGCTGCCTGATCACATTAAGGCAGTGACCTGGGCACGGACCAGTTCCAGCTTTTGCAGCTCTCTGATGATACCCCGTACAGCCGCCGGCCGCTTCGCGAAGTCACTTCGTCGCTCTCGGGCACCCCGAGCCCCCGGGCAGGGACCGCATGGCAGGGGTAGCCCAGCCCCCAGCCAGCCGGGGCCTCTT